TATTGTTATTAATAAAAATCTAAAAAAATATATTTTATTTATTATTTTTACACTTATGTAGTTTATTTATTTATAAAACTAAAAGAACAAAAACAATTTTCTTAATAAATTAATTTCTTTTTCTTGATTAATATTTAGATAATTAGGTTTAATTATTATTATATTATTTTCTTGTAAATTAAAATTAATTTAGAACTTAGGTTTATTTTAATCAATTAATTTTCCTATTATTTTTTTATTTATTTAAAATCTTTTCATAAATAAAACCCTAAAAAATCTTTTTTTAGTTATTTTCTTTTCTTATTTAGTTTAAGTTAATTTTGTTTAATTTTCCTTAATCATTTTCTAATTAGGTCAAGATTAAACCCCTTTCATAAAAAACTAAACAAAAATCATTTCTTTTTCATTTGCATTTGTACATTGTTATTTATTCAATTCTTGTATATTATTCAATATGGTTGTAATAATTATTTAGATTTAATTTTCTTGCAATTTCCCCATTTGTAAATTTGTACACCCCATCCCCTAATGATGTAATAGTTTAGTATTTTTATTTTCCGCAATTTGATACTTTATAAATACTAGTAATTAGGATTTATATGAAAAGATAAAACCAACAAATAGTAAACCCTAATCAAGACAAATCAAACATGAAAAAGACACACTTGCACCCTTAGGGTAAATCCACTTTGTTGCCTTACAAAAATTAGCAAAAACAAACAAAATACAAGATAATAGTCCCTCGGTGACGCTATCAAAGTTGCCTTTCAAAAATGATCTTAGTTCCATAAAGAAAATGCTAAGATATCTTACAATGTTTCTAATCATGGCTATACGATGTCCCTTGTCCGTCCCTTTTACATCCAAAGATAGGGTTACTTACCAAATCAATGGTAAAATAACAATGTCAAAGGAAAGAGGAAATAAACATGAAAGACTTTTGAGTAGGTAGAATGTTCCTAAGTTGCTTGCTCGTTTTCAAACCAAAACATCCTTTTTATTTTCAAAAACAAACACCAACACTTTTAAAACATCTTACAAACTTGAAACATTTTCAAAATATTAACACTTTGTATACATTCTTACGAACGAGAATCATTGCAAAGTTTGCCTAAACGATGGCGCCTTTTCAAAATACTTTCAAAAACCACACAAAGCACATTTTCAAACAAAAGCAAGTGATCTAGCAAGCAGCTAAGAGCCCGTAGATAACTACAGATGAAAAGGGTGCTAATACCTTCTCTTTTCATAATCTATCCCCCGAACTCAAGAAAACATATCAAAGGTCATTCATGTTCTTTTCAGCCTTTCCTTCTGGATAAAAGAAAAGTCGGTGGCGACTCTTACTAACCGCAACAATTGTGATCAAACGCAAAATAACCAAGTCAGTTCTCCCACCGTGTTACAGTTTCTAATTCTTTAACATCCAGTTATTTTCTCTTCATCCCCATATGTTTCTCATCAAAAGAAACATAAGTACTTATGATAAATTTTGATCCTCGAGGATCCATCTTCCACAATTTGTAACGTTTTTCCTCTTCAGGATAACCAATGAAGACACACTTCATAGTCATAGCATCAATTTTGTCTTATTTGATATTAGCAAATGCCAAGGCTCCAAAAATATTCAAATTTAAGTAGTCTACCGGTTTCCTATTCTAAACTTCCATAGGTTTGTTGAAGTTTATTCCTCTGGATGGACATCTGTTGATCAAGTAAGATGATGTAGCAACAGCTTCACCCCATAAACTCTTTGGTACCTAGCTCCCAGTAACATACATCTTACTCCCTCCAAAATTATTCTATTCATGCTTTCTACTAATCTATTTTGTTGAGGTGTTCCAACAACACTTATATGCCTCTTAATACCATGTTTCCTACAAAACTCATTAAACTACTCTGAAATAAACTCCAAACCATTGTCAGTTCTTAATACATTCAATTTAGTTTTCAATTGAGTTTATATAAGAGTATACCATTCATTAAAAAATTTAAAGGTTTCACTTTTACTTTTTAGAATGTAGACCCATACTCTTTTAAAGAAATCATCAATAATAGAGAGGAAATAGAATCCACCTCCATGAGTTGCCATCCTTGTCGGACCCCATAGATCTGAGTGAACATACTCAAAAGGTATACTAGAATTATGCACACCACTCCTAAACTTCACCCTGTGTTATTTTCCTCGAATGCAGTTATCACAAAATTCTAGTTTATTTAATTTCTCACTCCCTATCAAACCTTGTTTAGAAAGTTCAACTAAACGACTTTCACTGACATGGCCTAATCTTAAATGCTTAAACTTAGATTTATCAAGAAGGTCTTGACTAGCTACTGATGTGTGACCAATAATAGTGGAACCATCCAAAACATACAGCCAACACATTTTGGATCCTTTAACCATTATTAATGCACCATGCAAATTTTTCAACACCCCACGTTCAGTTCTAGTGCAGTAGCCTAGATCATTAAATATGCTTATGGACTACAAATTTTTCTTAAGTTCCAGAACATACCTCATATTGCATAGAAGGAATTCACGGTCATCTAACATTTTCAGTTTGATTGTACCAATACCATGAACTTTGCAAGCCTTATTGTTTCCAATTTGAACGAGTCCACCTTCTTTCAGCTCCAAAGTTTTAAAATATTCTTTCCTTGGACACATGTGATAAGAGCAATCGGGGTCCATAAACTAATCCTTTTGTGTTTCCAAACTTACTACCACTATTGCACCAGCACTTTCATAACCATATTCGTCTGAGGAAATTGTAATCTGAACAGAATCACCCTTGTTCCCTCTTTCATGGAAATCCTTCTTGAAGTGGCCAGTTTTGTGACACGTGAAGCATTTAAACTTTCATTTACCAAAAACCTTGGATTTAGACTTTAATATGGATCTATTTCCTTTCTGGTTTCCTCTGCTCCCACTTCTTCCTCTTGAGAAACTTATGCCTTCACCACTATTGTCAACCTTCAAATCTTTCAACTTCGATAACTCCTTTGATCTTACAGCCGTCTAGACTTCATCAAAAGTGATAGTTACTTCCTTACAAGAAAGAAGGGCATCCTTAAAGTGAGAAAATGATTTGGATCAAGAGTAGAGCCTTGTCCTTGTTCTTCAATTTTCACATCTATATTTTTCAAGTCATCAATGATCTTGTAAAATTTTCTCAGTTGTTCCACAATAGATTTATTCTCCACCATACGGAAAGAATAAAGTTATTGTTTCAGACATAACCTGTGAGCCAATAACTTGGTCGTATATAATTATTCAAGCTTGAGCCACATCTAAGTCGCGGTATTCTCCCTCGCGACTTCCCTTAATACTTTATCTCTGAGGCACAAGATAATGACACTTTTGTCCTTATCCACCATCTCGGTCTTCTCATCCTGTATAAGGTTTGCAGGCATCAATGTCTCTCCCTTTAATGCTTATGCACACTTTTATTGAATTAGTATGGCTTGCATCTTTACCTTCCACAATTCGAAGTCGTTGTCTCTGGAAAAATTCTTGATGTCCCATTTGGAACCCATGGTGCTCACTTGTAGACAATACCCTTTTTCCCCACAGTGGGCGCCACTTGTTGTGATAATTACAAGGCTCAATTTCAATATGTGAGGCAAAGAAAAGTAGCAACCAAACAAATGACCTTGAGCAATAAAAATAATAATAGATGAGAACACTGGAAAATTGTTTATACAGTTCGATCAAATGATCTACATCTGGGGAAGATAGTAGCTCTCCAATTCACTATACTCAAAAAGTTGTTACAAGAGATTACAAATGTGTTACAAGAAAATAGTCTTCGCCTTCAGAGTTCCCAAGAACAACCCTGAAGGAGCCCAAGAACAAACCCTATTTCTTATCCAAGTGTTTTCCAACCTCTCAAACTCTAAATAATGTAATCACACAAACCCAAGGTGTAACCAGTGTTTCTCAATAACCTTAAATAACTCCGAAGGTTCCCTGAACCTTTTCCTTTTTAAGGTTTCTCTTGAGAAGACCATAAAATCCTTGTTTCTACCTTATGCAACTCTCACCTAACAAATGAGAGAAAACCCAATATTTATAACTAACAAAATATTAACGGACCCAAGATATGACCCATTAACAAACAAATCCCCAAGCAAGCCCAACATTGTGAGTACCAAAATATGTCTCTTTTTTTGACTTGAGGTTTTAAGGCATATTACAGCAATAATATTTTGGAAAGAGGTAGTTTGAAAAATCTTCTAAAATTGATCTTTTATAACATCATGATACATGTATAAAAAGATGAAAATTTATGAAATAATTCCATGAAGAAATGCAATGATTTCCAAGAAAAATTCTATGAAAAGGTATCAAATTTTTCTGAAATTTTTGAGATGTTTAAAAATATTTGAAAAAATTGCAAATTCCCAAACGATTGCATTCCCAATACAATCGATTGTGGGGAATCAATACTAGTGAAAAATTGAAGCATCCAATCAGTTTAGGGCGATAGCACAATCGATTATACTAAACTTTCTGTAAAAATATCTGCTTGAAAACTGGCTATCCAATTGATTCTAGGGGTTTATCCAATCAATTAAATTGCTTGAAAAACCCGATACAATCAATTGCATGGCTTGTCCAATCGATTGCATCCAAGTCAAAACCATTTTTTCTTGCATTTTTAAAGGTGTTTCATGAAACTAAACATGCTTAAATGCTTTGGACTCTTAAAGAATGACTAGTTGTTTGCAGCCCTTAATCTTATGCACCCCGATAAATCCCCGGGTCCAGATGGCTTTAACCCGACTTTTTATCAGAATTTTTGGCATATATGTGGTGATGATATTTTTACGATGGCTTCTAATTAGTTAGAGTGAGGTTTTTTTTCCTGACTTACCTCAATGTTACAAATATTTTTGTGATCTCGAAGTGTGCTAAACCTCAAACTATAAAAGAGCTTCGTCCTATCTCTTTGTGTAATTTAGCTTATAAGCTGGTAGCAAAATTGTTAGCTAACAGGATGAAGTGTTGTTTGGCAAAATGTGTTTCTGAGAAACAATTTGTATTTGTAGAAAACCGCTCCATCTTAGATAATGCAATAATGGCTATTGAAATTATTCACTCTCTCAAACGTAGGACAAGTGGTAATAAAGCTCATATGGCATTAACGATTGACATTAGTAAGACATATGGTAGGGTGGATTGGGTTTTTTAGAGGAATGTTAAGTCAAATAGGGTTTGTGGATATGTGGATCCACTGGGTGATTATGTGTGTGACATATGTGAGTTATTTCGTTCTAGTCAATTCATATAGAGTTGAACCAATTCAACCAGGAAGAGGTCTGAGACAAGGGGATCCATTGTCTCCTTATCTCTTCATTCTTATTGTTAAAGGCCTTTCTGCTCTTATCAAGGGAGCAGTTTCTCGAGGGGACATTCTTGGTGTCCAAATATATAATGGGGAGCCTAGTGTGTCCCATATGTTTTTTGCTAACGATTGTTTTTGATTTTGCAGGGCTACTATTGCGAAAGTGTCTCACCTTATGGAGTTACTTCATATATATGCCACTACCTCAGATCAAGAGATCAATATGACTAAGTATGAGGTATTCTTTAGTCATAATCTCAATATTTCGGGACAAGAGAATATTGCTAATATATGGGTGTTCTTCATGTGCTTAGGACGGGTTCGTATTTGGGTTTGCCCTCAATGATTGGTCGCAGTAAGAAGGAAACTCTTTCTTTTGTAAAGGATCATATATGGAAGAGAATTAGTTCTTGAAGGGGAGATCATTGTCTAAGGCAGGTAAAGAGGTGATGATAGAATTTGTCCTGGAGTCTATTCCTTCGTATATCATGAGTGTATATATTATTCCTGATGCGGTGGTGAATGACATTGAGAAGATGTTGAATTCCTTTTGGTGGGGAGGTGGTAGTAACAAAAAAGGAATTTGTTGGATGGCGTGGGAGAAGTTGTCGTGTCCTAAGAGGGACAGGGGCTTAGAATTTAGGGATTTTAAGGTTTTTAACTTGGCTATGGTAGCTAAACAAGGATGGAATTTGTTGACAAAACTCATTTCCTTGGTTTCCATATTCTTCAAGGAAATGTACTCCCCTAATTCCTCATTTTTGGATGCTAAGATTGGATCTAACCTGAGTTTTTTATGGAGAAGCCTCTAGAAAGCTAAGAATGTTTTGTGTTTGGGTTATAGGTGGAGTATTGGTGATGGAAGTAATATTAAGGTTTTACATGAGGCTTGGCTTCGTGGGAACAAAGAATTTTGGTTAGGAGGCCCTTTCTCCCAAGGTGTGTATAATATTTTTGTTCAAGATCTTCTCTTGTCTGATACTAAACATTGGAATACTTAGGTTGTTAATTCCTTGTTTGATGATGTAGTTGTGAATGAGATCCTGGATGTTCCTTTGGTATAGGATGTGGTTGAGGATGGGCTGGTTTGGAATAAAGAGAAAAATGGTGAGTATAGTGTCCGTACGGGTTATAGACTTTGGAGGAATTCTCATATTTATCATTCTAACTGTAGGGTGGATGCTAATTGGAAGAGCTTGTGGAATATTATGGCACCTCCCAGAGTTAAACATCTGCTTTGAAGAATTTATAGAGGGTGCTTGCCGACGCGATGCAGACTTAGACAACATTATGTTCAATGTTCGTTGTCATGCCCAGTTTGCAAAGTGGAGGTCGAAGAGGAATGGCATCTATTTTTTTGGGTGTAGTACTACTTCTAATCGTTGGTGGGCAGCAGGTTTGTCCACTATTATTGATCCTCGTTTACAATCCTTTAATGATACTAAGTCTCTCATTCCTTATATTTGTAGTAGAGAAGATAAGCGAGATGCTGATAGATTTGTTATGATGTTAGAGGTGCTTTGGAAAAATCATAATAATATAGTGTGGAATAATGATAGAGAGGATCTATCTAGATTAGGATTGCAAGCCTATTATAATTGGCATGATTTGTTCGATGCCCGTGAAACTCATGAATTGAATAGTGGTACTCATAATCCTTTAGTTTGGATACCTCCGGGCGAAAGTTGGGTGAAATATAATGTTGATGCCGATTTTAATAGTCATCATCGAACTATTAATAGGGGTTGGTGCCTTCGAGATAACACGGGGAGAGTCATCACTGCAAGTGTCGCTTGGGATATAGGTAGTATGTCATTTATAGAAGCTAAATCCTTGGCGCTAAAAGAAGTTGTTAGAATTTAAAATAAACTGAATTCTAGTATTATTTATATATATGATTTGTAACACTGTAATTCAAAAATTCACAAGACATAAATAAAAAGAACTATAATTATTCTATAGTTGCAAAGATATGAACCAATGACCGAACTGCTTTAATAAAGATCAATCACATTCTTTGTCTTTTATTTTCGCCTAATAGCTTAAGAATATGAAATAATATATACATGATATTTTGTCAAAGATGCTATAACTGATATGTCCAGCAATTTGATTATTTTTTTCTCCCATTCTTATTAATAGATGTAGAATTTTAGCACAACCAAGATATATTTATGCATTCCTTCTTGCTAAAACCCCAGCTGACTTTGTGTCATGTGGTGTGCTAGATACATAATCATCAATCAGCCATCCAACTGAATGAACTATTATAAATTTGATTCAGTGTTGAAGAATATTAAATTTTAGTTTTCAACATATGTGAAGTGGGGACATCGTGTCATTTTGATTTATTAACATAAAATATATTTACACAAAATAAATTATGATATCATGCAATGAACTTCAAATTTATCTAAACATGAGCAACATTTTCCTCCCACAAAGTCAACTATTGCTTTCTTATTTTATAAATTGCAAAAAAGTAAAAGTGAATCAGTCTTTCTATTTAGTCTTCAAAACTGTGTCTTGTTTTGTTTTTCGTTTCAGAAATAGCGTGAATTAAGAGACATAATGGTTGAGAATATGAATAGAAGCAACTTTGAAGTGTTGGGAATGTGTTGTGCCACAGAAGCAACACTGGTTGAAAGAATTCTGAAGCCTCTTCATGGTGTCAAACATGTCTCAGTAATTGTTCCTACTCGAACCGTTACTGTCGTCCATGATGTTCTCCTCATTTCTGAATCACAAATAGGTTAATTTTATGTTTTTTATAGCCTAAATCATTACAACATGAATTGGTAATGAAGTTGACTTGTTCTGTATGTGAATAGGATCATAACTTCCATCATCACATGATCTTTTTTATTTTTGTGATAATTTCAGTTGATGCGCTGAATACAGCAAGGCTTGAAGCTAGTTACAGACCAAAGGGAGAGACCAATAATGAAAAGAAATGGCCAGACATAGTTACAATGGCGTGTGGATTGTTACTTTCAATTTCATTTTTGAAGTATATATATTCTCCTTTGGAATGGTTGGCTTTTGGTTCTGTTGTTATTGGATTTCCTAAAATTCTATTAAGGGCTATAGCTTCTATTAGAGCTCTTACTCTTAATATCAACATTTTAGTCCTTTTGGCAGTATGTGGAACTGTTGCTTTACAAGATTTTACAGATGGTGGAGTCATAATCTTTCTCTTCTCCATTGCTCAGTGGCTTGAAACAAGAGCAACTCACAAGGTTTTCTGATATCACATCATTTTTCTCTTAATATCTCTTTTTCAGTAACACGTCAAAACCGATAATAATTTGAAAAATGAAATGATTGAGGGTATCTGCATCATGTGTTGATATCAGTGACACATATCGGACACCAGACACACATTTTGATCAGAAGTTTGGTACTACATGCAAACTAGCAATGATTTCTATAAACACACAAATCACTACAATATCTTACATGTCTATATATTACATTATTTACATTCATAGGCAATGGTTGCAATGTCCTCTTTAACAAACATGGCTCCTCAAATGGCCATTATTGTCGAGACCGGGGAACGCGTCGATGTCAATGATGTTAAGATCAACACCATCCTTGCTGTCAAGGCTGGTGATGCTATTCCTCTAGATGGAGTTGTGGTTGAAGGAAAGTGTGAAGTTGATGAAAAAATGTTAACAGGAGAATCATTCCCCGTCACCAAAGAATCAGATTCATTTGTCTGGGCTGGAACTATCAATATGAATGGTTAAGACCTCATTTTTCATGTTTCCTCTTTTCATTTTCACTCTCCAAGAGTCTTTCGTCATTTTGAGTACATAACTTTTCAGGATATATAAGTGTAAGAACTACAGTGTTGGCAAAAGACACAGTAGTGGCAAGAATGTCAAGATTTGTTGAAGAAGCTTCTAGCAGAAAATCAAAAGCTCAAAGATTTATAGATAATTTTGCAAAATACTATATTCCTGGTATGTATCATGTACATCAATTTTCTTCTTCTTGTGGAACTTGAGAAAATAATTTTTGTTCTTCTGTTTATGTTGTATTGCAGTGGTTGTGTTGATTTCAGCTAGCATTGCGGTGGTTCCAGCTGCATTAAACGTTACCGATATTGAGACTTGGTTTCATCTATCACTCGTTGTTTTATTGAGTGGATGCCCTTGTGCTCTTATTCTCTCCACGCCTGTTGCAATCTTTTGTGCTCTCACAAAAGCTGCAATAAGTGGATTGCTCTTGAAAGGTGGAGATTATCTTGAAATACTTTCTAGAATTAAGACTGTGGCTTTTGATAAAACAGGCACAATAACAAGAGGAGAGTTCCTTGTAACCGATTTTAGTTCAGCCGATGAATTTAACAAAGAAACCTTATTGTACTGGTATGCTTCTTTATTCAAGGTTTAAATAAGCTTTTGATCCGTAGAAATAACTTAATTTAGCTAATGATGAAAACTTTTGTAGGATTTCAAGTATTGAGAGTAAATCAAGTCATCCAGTGGCAGGTGCACTAGTGGAATATGGAATGTTGCACTCTATCAAACCAGTCCCAGAAAATGTGGAGAATTTTCAAAATTTTCCGGGTGAAGGAATTTTCGGCACAATTGACGGGAGGAATATCTACATAGGGAATAGGAGAATTGGTCTCAGAGCTGTCTGTGAAAGAGGTGATTGTATTCAAAGCCATGAGATTTCTACGTCTAAGAAACGATACGGCGAAGACACTCTAGTTGGAGTGTTCAGCTTAGTTGATGCTTGTAGAACAGGTGCTTTAGAAGCAATGGAAGAGCTAAATTTGTTAGGTGTGAGATCAGTCATGCTGACAGGAGATACCTCACAGGTTGCTATGTATGTTCAGAGTCAGGTATGCTCAAAGAAACTCTATTACAAATGTGTTTTTCTAATTGTTAAGAATCCCACATCGGACAATATATGGCCTGAACATGTGTTTATAAGTGGAGGCAATCCTCATCCTACAAGCCGGTTTTGTAGGGTTGAATTAGGCCCAACCACATCTTAATATGGTATCAGAGCCTCGTTTAAGATCCCTGAACATGTGTTTATAAGTGGGGGCAATCCTCACCCTATAAGCCGGTTTTGTAGGGTTGAATTAGGCCCAACCACATCTCAATACTAATAAACTTCATCATTTCACTTTTCTATAGTTTTGAGCTACATGAAGATAATGTAACTTGACAGTTATAGGTAGTTGTAATGCAGTTACGATTCTGTTAGAAAGTTAGTTAAGTTTGTTACTTGTTAGTCAAGTAAAATCTAGTGCAGCTTAATACAATAGTTTATGGTGTAACTCTAGGAGATTGTATATATCTTAATCATTGCTTATTCTTCTTCCATAATGCTCAATCCAAGTTTCTCAATAAGACTTATTCTTTGCAGCAGTTAAACAATGCTATAGACATTGTTCATGCAGAGCTTCTACCACATGATAAGGCAAAAATCATTGAGAATTTGAAGATAGAAGGGCCAACAGCTATGATAGGAGACGGCATAAACGATGCTCTGGCATTAGCTACAGCTGACATAGGCATCTCAATGGGAATATCAGGATCAGCTCTTGCAAACGAGACAAGCAACGCGATTCTGATGTCGAACGACATCCGAAAAGTGCCTGAGGCGATTCGTCTAGCAAGGAAAACAAGTAGGAAGCTCATTGAGAATGTTGTTATTTCGGTTGGATTCAAAAGTGGCATACTTGCATTGGCAATTGCAGGATATCCATTAGTTTGGCTTGCTGTTTTGACTGATGTTGGAACATGTTTACTTGTGATTCTTAATAGCATGTTGATTTTACAAGAGAATCATAAATATGAAGAAAGAGAATCAGGTAGGTCTAAATATGGCAAGTTTTTTGAAGATAAGACTAAACCATTACTTAACAAGAAAAGTAATATTGATGAGGAAAAAGGGCTTATTGGTGGTGACGAGTGTGGTAAAGAGTGTTGTATAAATGTCACTCATCACGTGGAAACTACAAAAGAAAACAAAGATGAATCTAGTAGAGTTTCAAACTTGAGCTTACTCAATGGAAATGACAATGGAAACTGTATGT